GCACTTTTTTTAATCAAATGCAAACACTCCCTCAGTCTACATATGAGAGTAAGTTTCCATTTCAAATTTTCAATTGCCATATTTTAATATTTTGCTTGGTTGATTTTCTTTATTTTCAATTGCCATATTTTAATATTTTGCTTGGTTGATTTTCTTTTTTTTTCATCGTCAAATCTAACAAATATATTAACTTAAATAATGTTCATCACGTCATTCACATGGCTGATAATACAATCAAAGAAAAAGCAGTAAACAAAACGATAAAAAGTCTTATGTGTGTCGTGTGTCCTCGAACCAGACTTAGCTAAGCAAATGATTGGCAAACCAGACTTCTCATCACATGACTTAATTCTAGAATCTCACTGCTAGGAAATAAGAACACGTCCAAAACAACATGCAATTCGAAAGAAAAACACAAACAGAATAAAACGGAATAAAAACACAGTTCACACATCTTCTTCCAAACCCTAGACTTGCTTGCACCCCATGGCGGCTTAGGAGGGGGACGCACCCGCCGCTCATCCGCCCAACAGTCATGCTTTTGTATTGATTGGCGATATCCACCTTTGACATCCCTTGCTGCTGAATTGAAACCAAACTCCGCCACAGCTTGCCCACCTTTTCTTTGTCAACACTCGACCTTCAACTATAAACAATAGCAGAAGTCGAGCCCGGGCCGCCAAGGCGTTGCATCCCTGGTCCCGAGTCTGCTTGCACGACCAAGATCGACGAAACACTTCTCGAAAACGCCGTTACTCAAAGCTTCCTCGACGGACCCGCGATGAACTCTGTGACCTCCTGGCTGACCCCCTTAATCCACCCTCCAGACTGATTGATAATAACAATTTGGCCAGCCGAAACCAAACCCCGCTCCTCGGCTAAGCCGATAGCGGACACTCCGAGAGCTAAATGTATCTTTTTCCTTCAAAACATGAGACCATATTTGTTTCGAGCAACACAAGAAATGAAATCAATAAAAAAATTAGCATCTCGCTTGGTTGATTTTCTTTGTCTTTCAAACTTTCTTTTGCTGTTTTTTTTTTCAAACTTTCTTTTGCCGTTTTTTTTTTCAAACTTTCTTTTGCTGTTTTTTTTTTTCAAACTTTCTTTTGATATACTTTCACTTTCTCTTGTATATAGTACTACGTATTTAATTTTCAAACGTGAAAGTTATTTAATTTTAAACTCTACCGATTCCGGAGTATTCAAACTATACTCCAATATTTATTTTTTTAAAGCCGGTTTTAATCCAAAACCCGAGAGTTTTGGAGTGAGAACTAGGGAAGACTTCACCAGTTTATCAGAATTAAAAGGTTACAAGGAGTAGGAGGACCAAACCAAGAACCTACTTAGAAATTACATAACATGTAGATAACTAATTATATTGATGGAGTATATGATCCAGGACCCCCTGGCCCACACACTCATGCAATCCAGACATTCAGTGGAACCCCTCGGCGGTACCCCTCGGCACCCTTGGCGGTACCCCTCGACACCCCTCGGCCATGAGGCCCTCGGCACTTCATAACACCCCTGCACATATTAGCTTTTGTGCGGCCCATATGTGACGGCCCAAGCTCCATGAAGTCCATAATACCTGATATGTACCTTCGGCACCATTGCTGAAGGCCTGAAGCTCATGGGGACAACTACTCTTGGACCAACATCGCTACTGGAGAATTCGGGCTCAAATATGTAGCCTTCATCCATCACGCCGAAGGGTCAGCTCTCAGCAAAGATTCCCCGCTGGAGACACGCAACCACCGCATTGAATGCGGTGTCACGTCCAACCATCGCATTAAATGTGGTGCCACATGCAATGTCGGCGCCAGCGCGGCTGGAATGACCCATCACCACTGATTAGTTGACATGTGTACTCTCATTTAATGCGTCTAGCGCTTGTGGCTGCTATAAATAGTGCATCATTTTCCTCTGTAACAGACATCGAGCTCATTTAATACATTTGACCCTCTCTCTCTCTCTCTCTTACTTGTTTGCTCCAACTTCTCTCTAAATATTTCTTATAATATCCCTCGGATAACCTACCCTCGGGTACACTATCCATCACTAATTTTACCAAATTTAAATATACCAACAAAATGATTAAAATGATGATTCTCGATATTAATAGAGGTACAATGAAAAGTTAAGCACTCGGCTGCCTTGTTGGGGTTTGGATTGATAAGCTTGATTGGCTAATTAAGATCTTGGATATTTTCTTGATTGTTCGTATGTGAGACAAGTATTTCCAATGCTGAAGAGTGGCATGTAAGACACTAAGAGCTTCATAGACATCCCTATTGTCAACCTAAAAAATAAACAATTTTGAAATATTAGTGCACACATGAGGGGATGCCACGGATAAAAACATCATAAAGAGCCAGAGTTTTGTCATTGTGCTTATCAAGCTGGGAAGAGGGTGACAGTACGAATGAAATTGGGGTTAAGGTTTCGGGAGGCGAAGTTTATTTTGAGGTATTTCGCCGACTTTTGGTTTGGATTTGTTAATTTTTTAGAGGGAGTGGTAAGGACAAAAATGGGTTTGGCAGCATAAAAGACAAAAATATCAGTTTTAATAGCTTTGATTGCCATAGGAAAATGACTCATATTATCATCATTGAGGAAAGTATCCCTGGTTTACCGAATTTGCCAAATAATGAGGTTGGGAAGGACAAAGTTTAATCCCGAGCCGGGCTTTTAAAAACATTATATACCAATGACAGATGGAGTTTTATAAGAAACCTTCATGGGGGCTTAAAATCAAACATGTCCTCAAAAAAAATCCAAATTCTTCTATTAAAACTGCATTTTATAAATTAAAAAAAAAATGGTCACTAGTGTCTTCATTATGGCAGAAAGAGCATTTGAAGGGGCCGTGAATGCCAATACGGATTAAATATTTTCCGAAGGGAACAAGATTATTATTAAGGCGCCATAAAAAAAAGAAATTTTCTTCGGGGTCCTATTGTTCCACGTATATTTGGAATTGGGTTCCGGAGCCAGCTGGGGTCTAATCTCATCATAGGCACCTTTAAAACAATATACTCCAATATTAATTAAAGACAATATAGCAAAAATTTACCTTGATCTTCCAAAGAGATCACAATTTTCTTTAGCTATCCACTGCCCATCCACACACTTGTTTGTCTTGAAAGTTTCTTATCCTCTATAGCCAAATGTAATATTTTGATAAGTACTCAATGTAATGGTCAATTCTACATAGTGGTGGCCTCGGGCCATAGTGGTGGCCTCGGGCCATAGTGGTGGCCTACATAGTGGTGGCCTCAGGCCAGTTCGGGCACGGGACGGGCCTAGGCCCGACTAGGCCGCCAGTTAGGAAATGCTGGACCCGGGACCGGCCCAGGTAGCCACCGAGTCCGGTCCGGGTCCGGGCCGGGCCTCAGGCCTCTTACATTATTTTTTCCCCCTTTCTAATTACCCCCCGACCCCCCAAACCACCACAAATGGCCCAAAATACCCAGCCCAACCTATGGGTGGACTCGGTTCGGGCCAGGCCCAGTTCGGGCCTTGAACCGGCCGGGCCTCGGTTCACCAAAAGGAGGGTCCGGACCCGAACCGGTGGCTCCCGGTTCCGGGCCGGTTCCGGGTCGGGCCACCCGGGTCATAATTTTTTTTTTTTTTCGCTTCTCTTATTTAACCCCCTATCCCTCCCCCTCCACCCCAAACCACCTCAAATGGCCCAAAATACCTAATCCAACCCAAAACTTAGAAAAAATTCAAAAAAAAAAAAAAAAACCGGCCCAGCCGGTTCCGTTCACCAAATGGAGGGCCCGGGCCCGGAACCGGTATCCACCGGGCCGGTTCGACCCGAACCGCCGTTGGACCGGGCCACCGGGGCGGGCCGATTGCTACAGTGGGCGGGCCGGTCCAGTTCCGGGTCGAGCGGCCCGGCCCGAGTCCATCCCTAGCCCAACACGGGGATTTTAAAAAAAATGAAAAAAAAAAACCAGGAACCAGGCCAGAAAATGGCCAAGCCAGTTCATGTTTTGGGTGACCCGAGCTCGGACCGGAAACCCCTCGGGTCGGGCCTACCCGGACCGGTTACTGGCCGGGCCACCGGGTTGGGCCGGGTCGGAACAGTGCCGGTCCCAGGCCTGTTCCGGGTCGGACCACCCGGCCTGAGTCCAGCACTAGTACTACACCCCAATATCTTTAGCAATTCAGAATGATATTTTTTCATCTCCGGAATTAGTGAGTAGTGACTATTTGTAATGGTAATATGGTATTGTTCAGGAATTAACAGTCGCATTACTCGCATAGTGATCTTATACTCTTATAGTGACTTCAAATCTATCTGCATGACCTCAAAATCCATTTTGTTATCGAAATTTTATAGCGTCTACAAATACACCCCAATCACTATTAATTAGGCATGGACCCGGTTCGGGCCGCCCGGCCCGGCCCGCCACTGTGCGGGCCCGGAACCGGCCCGGTTCTCGGGTCCGGGTCGGGCCTAGGCCCGGTGGGGGGGGCGGGTCCGGGCTCGGGCCTTGTATTTGGCGAACCGGCCCGGCCGGGTCGGGCCCGGGCCGAATTGATTTTTTTTTATTTTTTTTTCACTTTTTGGGGTTAGCCGGGTTGGGCTTGATGGTTAGGAGGGGTTTGGGGGTTTGGGGGAGTGGGGGGTGAGTGGGGGGGGGTAGGAAAGCAAAAAAACAAAAAAAAAATTATGACCGAACCGGAGGCCCAGCCCGGACCCGGTGGCTACCCGGACCCGGACCGGACCCGGTGGCTACCCGGGCCAGTCCCGGGCCTTCCTTCCAAAAAAAAAAGCCCGGCCGGGCCCGGCCCGGAACCGGAACCGGCCCGGCCCGGGTCCATGACTACTATTAATAGTTACTATGGTATTAATACAATTAATTTTCGTAGGACTGCATTACATACACATTTGATCTACAATCCAACATAGTGGTTTGAATCTTGATAATGGATTTTTAAAAACATCCCCCTGAATATTCTTTCTCCTTGGTGATAAACTTAAAAATACTCCAACCCGTCATTTATTTATTTAATCTAAAAATAAAAGAATGAGATGACTTTATAATTTTATATATACTCATGAAGATATTAATTGATTACATGACCATAACGAAACAAAAAGCAGAACTTGTCAAAAATAATACATCAGCATATATACATTATTTCTACAGAAGAGAAAATAACCTAAAGAATAACACAATAATATTTGTGTTATTATATACCATTAATACCATTCCACCATACATCACAAGGGAAATTCAAGCACAGCTTTTGTCATTCGGATTGAGAACTACCTGCAGAACACGCATTTCCTTAGGTTCACAGGTTCACTAGATTGCTCTTACATCACAATTTCAAATTTGCATATTTAAAAAACACAACTTCATGAGATATAGAATAAATCTCTTGTATGATCAAAATAGTCAAATTTCAATAATTAAAAATTTCAGTCTTAGGCCGACATATGTAATTGTCTCGATATCAGTGGTTTAGTTAAGATCGAGCTGTTGCAATCCAACTAGCAACTGAACGAGAAGTTAATTTTCTTAGTTGATGAATCACAAGTTCTAATGAACATAAAAGGGAACAATTTTGGTCACATTTTAGATGAACGTAAACTCAATCAAATGGCCACGTGTACATTTGGACTAGCAAAATTCAATGATGAGGGAAACAAATGATCAAGGGTTGTTGTTTTCTTGAGTTTGGTTTTAGCCTTGAAAAAAAACAAAGGGGCCTGAAATATGGTGACCTAGAGTTTTTTCCTTACAATTTAACTTCTGATTTGTTCCCTTGTACTACGTATTTTTCAAATTTCAAGCGTATCACAGGGATATTGGGATCCCAGAGGGAGCATTCAAAACAAAACTTATTTATTGTGTTTGGGTACCTCTGAAAATGATAAGAAAAATAAAAACTGATTGATATTTTAAAAAACAATGCATATGTTTACTGTTTAGACATCTTAGGTCTTTATAATAAAAATAAGTCAAAACAATGAGTTTGAGTCATCCCCATATTTACTCTACTTTCACATTCATATTCCGTAAAACGGCTCTAAACCACAACATGATACTCCGTATGATTTGTGGAAGAGAGGAAAGGAGGCATACCGTCTCTTGGACCGGAGAGTTCTACTGGGAGGAGGATCAATAACTTTGGCCGCTTTGTTGATTCTCTTTGCCCTTGTTCTAATGGGAACTGCAAAGGGTGAGAATGTAAATGAACATTGAGTCAATGATGATGATGACTACTATGACTATTGTAGTTGTCATACAACATAAGAACAAAGCAGGCAGAAACAGAAGGGCAAGCAGTACTACCTCCTCTGGGATGAACAAGTGGTGATTGAACTTCATTTTCCTCCAATTCTGATTCTGTCAGATTGCTGGAAGCACCAGAATGTGTTGACTCCTTGGTAGATGCTGTCTTAAAATTTGTGGTTGAAAGTTTGGTTTCTATTGATACTTCAGTTGACAGATCAGTGACTTCACCATCTGCTCCACCTTTGCCCCAAAAAGAGACAGTCAACAACCCAACAAAATCAAGGGCGGTGAAAAGATTTCCTTTGTTATGTTCGGTTCAACAGAACTAGATGCATTTTGGGGTGGGGTTGTAGTCACTTAAATAGTTTGTAATGCACTTGGGCCAAACTACACCAATAGAAACTATGAAAACATTAAAAAAAGCCAATAGAAACTAACCCCCTCCCACTAAATAAAAGCTGGTTGATGATTCAACAATAATTTCAAGAATCCATATTAAACTAACCCAACCCACAAAACTGATATACAGAATTAAGAAATTAGACATAACTAAGAAACTCACCTTCAGTAACTTCAGATTCACTGCTTTCCTCCACCTCTTTTTTAACTGATATAAAGCTCTCAAGGTTTGCCATCTTTTGTTGGTGGCTTTGGGCATTCTTGGCTGCAGCTTCTTGCTCTTTCTTTTCAATGTGGAATTTATTGATCTTTTCTTCGAATTCTTCAATACAAGACTTGACTTCCGGCTTACAAAACTTCTTCCCCTGATTAAGGAATCTTTCCAGTAAATAAGTATCCAGAAAGAATGACAAACATTCAACATTCCACGATGCAGAAACATGAATTATTGTACCTTGTTTATTATATTTCGAAAATGATCCATCACAGTGTCCTCACATAAGGCATGTTCATATGCCTTAAACAATTCAATCAGCTTCTTAATGCTCTTCTCGTTGAACGTTAACTGAGATAGACAATATGAAATGTACTCCCACTGCCTAACATCTGTACCAAAGAAGCCCATGAAGGGCATAAAGGTGCTTCAGTTATCAATCAAGGAGAGTAAAAGCTAGAGAGGAAGAAATAAACAATGTATTCTTGATTTAATGATTCCAAGCACGTCAAAATTTATTTATAATTTTTTAAAGCATTCGACTAGCAGCTTATTCACTTAACTAATAAGAAAACTACACAGACATACTTATGATCCTCATGTAGCATATGTAACCAGAAAAGAGATAGAAAATAAACTCAAAATAAATACATTCAATGCCCAAGTGGGTACGGGTTTACATGTTCCAAGTGATGCATTCAGAGCACCTTATTTCACAATTCCACTATCCTATATACTCATTAACCATCAATTTAACTTTAATATATCTACAAACTTGAAATTCGACTAAAATATGCACCGTTTCTTTCAAATTATAATTTCTTTGGTTTTCTAACTTTAGTTACATTAACATAAGAGCTTGCACGTCATCACGAATAAGAAAGAGCTGAATGAAATATAAACTAATATAGAGATTCCAATCACACCTGTAACTCCACTAAATCTATTACAAAGCTTCTCGACAAGAGCCTCCATCTGTTTGTCCTAAAAATTCAAAAAAACAATGTCAGCGGGTTCAATGCGTGATTTGCCACTTTATTAAGTAAATAGGTGTACCTTTTTTATTGAACCAATCAAAAATTGCATTATGTTGCAAAATGATTCTTGTTTTAAGTTTTGTGTAGATAGCTTGCCTAAGATATCTGGAAGTAGATTATAAATGGGATTGCTTCCTGAAACAGAAACCAAATAGATTAATTCTACTTCACTGAGCTCACTTGTAGGTTAAAAATTAAAGAGTCATCGTTCAAGAAGATGCGGAGTTTTGAAATATTACCCTTTTTTGACAACTCGTGGAAGAACAGTTTGGCAAGGCTTGATATTTGTACATCGTCATCTTCTAAACAGATGGTCATTTCATTTATATAACCTTTTACCTGAAGCAATTGATAAAATTAAATTGCTAACATTGATGCTGAAAAGGTGGCTTAAAGGAAAAGCAACTCAAAGTCAGTTTCCTTTACCTTCATCATGTCATTTAAGATGAGATGCGAAAGGACTAATACAGCATTCTTCCTGACCAAAACTGCTGGATCTCTAAGACGTGCATACATGTTCTCAGTCCATGGCTCTAAAGAGTTCGGAAAACGAACTGCCAAGTCTCCAAGGGCAACTGTGCAATTTAAACGAACAGTTTCTGATGGAGCATTCTCCACAACAGTAAACAAGAGTTGTAGGTTTTTATCACTGCACAATTGCATTCAACTATTAGATTAAAGTTGTTATAACTTATAACTGCTATAGCTTATAGGATAACAGTAGGCACAAAACATACCAAAAGTCGGCATCAATTATCATAAACCGGCACAATGCAAGCATTCCAGATGCCTGAAGTTCAGGGTACTGAAAGATTGAGAAGCCATCAGTATGTCAGTATGTGGATAACGTCAACACATATCATTAAGCATGAAAAAGCATCTGTCTAGAAAACATCAAAACATCCTTAAAGAACTTCCCAAGTTCCCATGGTATATTAAAAAAATCACCTTCTGCATAAAAGCATAGTTCCCACATAGTTTTGAGATAAAAGCAGCACAATGCCCAATTAAGTGTTTTGCATCAGGGCTGCCAGAAATAATTTCTTTTTCTGCTCCTTCAGCAAGTGAATCAAGTAAAGCATCATCAGATGCAGCAACACCTAACTCGGCATTGATACCTTTGTCCTGCATAATGTCCAATGCAAACATCAGAACAAGTACTAATTATATACCCTCAAATAATTCACATAGTTGTTAATCCGTCAATGTGCAAGTATTAAATGCTGATCACCTTTTGAGCTTCAGCATGGGTGTTATCCTCAGTCTGTTCAGAAACCATTAGTTCTCTCTTTACTCTTTCTTTCTGAACCTTCCGGACCACTGATTCGATGTGAAGCAATTGGTTCATAGCAACATGGCTTACAATAAATAGAAATCTACTAAGTTTTGGTACATTAATTATGGTCGGCACATTAGAGCCTCCGTTCTGAATATCATTTTGTAGCTCTTCCCCCTCACCACAATTAAATATGGAACCAAGAGATTTTTTCACCAGATCCGCAGCTACTTTCTCAGGAGATGGATGAATTGTGTATATAGTACGTATTGCTTTATCAGCAGTGGCATACCATATACTTTCATGAAGTGAATTCCCAATAATTAAATTTTCCAAAATGCCAAAAACACGGCGTCCGTTAGTAAATAACAATTTTTTCCTATCTTCTTCAGGCAGCCTTTGTAACGCGGTGCATGCTGTGCTTGCAAGTAAGGGATCAACTTTTGCCCAGCGACCTAACCCAATATCAATAATATCTGAAAGGTGAGAGCTGAAAACAGCAGTTGAAGATTTTGCTGCCATACACAACACAGACAAAGCACCGCGACTTTGTTCTGCAGTTGTTCCACCAATATTGAAACAAAAGAAATCCCATAATGCTGACAACTGCAAGACAAACAAAATATTTCAGTTTTTCCTTAAACAATTCAGCACACCAGCAGGGAGTTCTTGTCCAAATTGCTGCAAATGTGAAATATCATGTCAAATAGGTTATGAACAAAGATCATACAATTCTTAATGCAAAGGTGGAAATCCTTCAACACCTAGATGGGTACTTAATTACATTTTTTATGAAAGGAAGTCGGTTTTCATGTAATTCTTAAAAAAATACACAAAACAGATCGATAGACTAGTTACCAGAGAATCAGAGATAAATTTTGCTATGCCAACAAATGAATTCTAAGAGTATAACTATGACCCACGAATATATGACACTTTCACCTTACACAATATCAATTGTTGTACAATGGTCAAACAAGTCTTTTTTTTTACAAAGGTATATGTAGTATATTACAATCATATGTAATTGCAATATATTCTAAAATCACTTCTCTTATTTCATTCATGCAATTGGTGTTTAAGATGCCCGACAATAACTTTTAAAAGAGATGCACCGTTGAAAAATGATCGTCTAATTTCAGGCCATCAATAATGAAGTACTTTCTGTATTAATGCTGATAACCACATGTCTACTCCTTCTCAACCAGTAAAAGAAAAAAGGAAAAAATCCTGAAAACTGTAGGAGGGGTCAATTCACAACAATTTCTGATACTGTTTTCCACTAATATTTCCTAGTACATAATGCCAATAGAAATCGTAACTCAGTATATTTAACATTGCACCACACTCATTTATCATGGAAAAAGAATATATCAACTATATTATTAAAACATACTGTGCTAGATGTTATATCGCCTTTGGATACCAGTTTTCCAACTAAGAGTTCAAGTGCTGCAAGATCTCCAACATTTGAATCTATAGCAAGACGCAAGAGATTCTTTGCAGTTCCTATTGTGTTCTTCTGTAGGTAAATTGTTATAAAAGCATTCTCAACAGCTTCCTGAATTGCTTTGTCCTGTGAAAATACCTGTCCGGTTTACACATTTTACACAACACTTGGTTAGAATAAATTAGCATTACGAGGGGAGACATAATCCCTCAGTGAGCTCACTGTTAGTTTACTAGACTGGACCCCTTCTATGAAGATATCGAGGTGTCCCTTCTTAGAACAATAAAACATTGAACTATGTTTTGACTCTAGTGGTGTAATAGGCATATACCAGTGGGAACATCCTTCGGATGCATTCTTCTGAGCCATCAACCTGAAACTGTCTGCACCTCATTAGCAAAAGAATTGTGTTTTCCACATCTGTGGCAGAAGATGACGCCATTAATTGCACAAGAGTTGGCATTGTAGCAGACATACACTTGGAAAATTGAACTGCTGTCTCTAATGATGCGACCAAAGTCCTTGTTTGCTCCAAGTTGCCAACATCAGGCACAGAATTGTCCTCATGTGCGGTATTCTCTTGCATTTCAGACAAACAACTATCAGTTAAACTGTCATTCGGTTGCAAGGACATCCCTTCATCACCTTCCTTAAGTGCCTCACCGTCCCCATTTAGAACAGTCTCTGATTGATCCGGTGGGACAAGGGTATTCAGTTTCTTCTTATATTGTTCTAAGGTTGCTTCAAAAGAGGATATTCGAAGTTGTGGGCCAAAGGGGTTATGTTGGAGCATTATGATGAGTAAATTAAGTGCAGCTTTTCGGACCATAGCGCTCTTATCCTCTAACCTTCCAGAAGCTAGTGCAGCAACCTCATTCCAGATTCCAATTGGAACAGATTGTTCTTCACAGAGTTCTGCCCAAACTTGAAGAACTCGACTCCTGGTATAAGCTGAAACATCCCTACAACGTTCCAACAGTATCTCCAGCATTTTATGCTTCGTTCTAAGACGAATACATTTGGAACTCACTTCACCTTCTGTACCATTAAAAGCCTTAGCAACCAACTTCCCGAACACCCCAACAAGGGCATTTCTTATCTTATATGATTCCCCGTCAAAGTGAGGGATTAATAAGCCTGCATTAGTTGAGACTAATTTAGGCAATCGATCAGCAAGCTCAACAAGAAACCTTCCTACATTTTCAGCTCCAACAGTATCTTTTACAAAATCTGTTGGATTTGTCCTTCCTATCTCTCTAATAAGGGAAGTGGCAAGGCTCCCATCTGCATACTTCTTCTCAGCCCCAGCAACTGCATCCGCCAACGGAGATACAGTATAGTCGTATTTGTGAATCAAATGGAGAATGGAAGCACATGACTGGGCAGTCTGATGGAACTTAGTTGAACATGTTGCAATTATCCGGTTTAAGGCATCTCTTGTAACCAAGTCCTTTAGCAATGCGGCCTTCTCATAAATGATGAAAGAATTCCTGCATAGATTCATAACGACGGTTTTATAGATAACTACTGATACTAAACCACAACAAATCGCCCATTTTTAGCGAGGGGATTTTACGGCTTACTTTACAACAAAAGACAAGTAATTTTCATCGGGGTCTGAAGAACCAAACAGGACTGAGAGGTTGATCTCTAAGGAATTGGCAATCAAAGTCAGTATCTTTGCCCTTTGGGGCTCCCAATCCCATTGGCTCACATGTTGCTTCTTCCGAGTACCAGCCATCACCCCCTAAAATGATCCCCCTATCCATCAGTCACTTGAAATTCCAATTAACACAGTTACGTTATGACTGACTAATATGCATGAAAACACAGTTAATCCATGCCATGACAGAACCAAAATACAGTTATTTTATGGACAATTAATGTAAAAACTAAGAATGGGAAGCATTATTTGAGTCGCTTATTGCCTGCATAGATGTTCATGTATGCATCAATAATAGACGCTGACAACCAATGGCCAACACATCAGCAAATAGAGCTAAGGAATTTTGAACAGTCAGAACATACATTAGAGAAATGAACCCAGAGAGAAGGCTTGGGGCACGAGATTTACTTTTGCATTATTGTTAGGGCTCGACTTAAACTCCTCAATGAGCACAATGTGCATGAGGAAGAAGGTGTAACTCTTAAAAGCATTCCGGTGTGAGGCCAAGCGATCTGCAACCGAGCTATCACAGTCATCCCCAGCGTCACTGTCATTATCACTGGGTTTACCATCCTTATTTCCGGAGGCCCTTGAAAACAAGTCCACATTTGGGAGCAAGACACTAAGATTAGACCTAAGAGACTCCACCAAATTGAGCTTACAAGGCGGAGGCAAGGTAGCAAAGTCCTTCACAAGCGAGTACACGCGGTCAAACACGTCCTGCTCTTCGATACAAAAGAGCTCTCTATCGGTTAGGTCATAGGAAACACCTATTCGGAAGCAGAGAAAATGAATGTGAGTTTGAACACAAATGAGAGTTTATACTGTTGGGAGCAAGGTGTAAGGGCGAAACTTACCTTTCACGAATTCTTCCTGAGCAGCAGGGCGAAGAGTCGCTATGGATGTAAGGTTTTGGACGGAGAGATGGTTGCCGCCGGCGTCTTCATCCTCTAGCGAGTGGAGATTGGCTGGGAAAACGAAAGGCGGTGCCATTCTAGATAGATACTCAAAACGAGAGTGTTTGGTTCTGGAGTTCAAACCTTCCTGCAACAATTGGGAGGGAGAATCAACTCGCAGAACAAATTTGAAATTTGAAATGAAAAGTAAAGTGAAAAAAACACAAGAAAGCCGGTCTCACGACTCACGAGTCTTATACCCATTTTTATATCCACATGTTTGTGAATTGTTTTTTTATCCGTGAACCCGGCTCACAGACAATATTTTGCATAAACAAAATATTGTCTATGAACCGGATTCACAGACAAAAAAACCTCCACAAACATGGTGGGTATAAGAGTGGATACATCAAACATTGTTGTAAAGTAAAATGGTACTCCTTTGCCCTTTAACTTTGACCTTTAATAAAGTAAAATGGTACTCCTTTGTCACTTTCTCATTTGAATGGATGATTCTTGTTGTCTTAGAGCCCGTTTGGTAGCACCAAAATCGGCTGTTTTGGCTAATTCTGCTGAAATTTATGATATTCTGGCTGGAGTGGCTGTTTTGGCTGATTTTGCTGATTTAAGAAAAAAATATTTTAAAAATATATTTTATTAATAAATTAAAGAAAAAAGTATATGTAAAAATAGCTAAAATGGTCCTCTACAGTAACTTCAGCCAATACAGCCAGAAAAGTAACTCCAACCTTACTTTTTCGGCTTATTACACAATTCAGCGCGCGAAAGTAAAAGTTACGTGTTTGGTGAAAAAGCTGGCTGATAAGCCTGATAAGCGGAAAACAGAGTTCTCCAAACGGGCTCTTAAATTTGTAGTGATGTATGCACTTTAAAATGAATTTGATATGTGATAAGTTCATATTCTAAAGCATTTTGATGTGTGGTGAGATTGTGACAAGCCATTTTTACACATTTCTAACACAATTTATTGCATTATTTTGCTAATATTTGATGCATCATGTTTTACCTCATGTCTCAATGTTTTTTGAAGGATTTTTATCGGGGGGGGGGGGGGGGGGGCTGGATAAAATAACTTGAGTAGACTTTGGAGATGAAGAGAGATTAGAGCACGAAAGTGGCTACCCGTACCAACTCACAATATCAAATCATAATGACATTTTGTTCATAACTTGAATTTATATTGTTACTAGAAACTTCAAGTTACACAATTCAAGTTCCATGTGAAAGATAACTCTAGGGCTGGCATTTTGGACCGAAAAACCGAAAATCGAACCGGAAAAAACCGAACCGTTTTGGAAAAAAACCGAACCGGTATAATTTGGGACCCGAAAATTGGGACCCGAAAAAATAACGGTTCGGAATCGGTTTATGGTGCCAATATATCGGTTTGAACCGAACCGAACCGACATTTTATTAATAATAATTATAATAAATTTTATAGTTAATGACCTTTATTAAATGTATATAAAATAAAATGCAGCCCAAAAGGAGCAAACGAAGCTCTCCCGTCTGATGGTTGCCAAGCGGGTTAGTGTCTCTAATATCCTGAGTTCGAATCCCAGGGAGTTGTTTTTAATCCAAAGGCTCAGTTTTCCATTTATTTTCCACAACTCTTTGTCCCACACCGGAGAAACAAGAGAGTTTCCTCCTCAAACACATCTATATATTGGATGCTTTCTCTAGTAACTAATCGTGTAAGTCCTGCCAATCCATGAGATTGTTAGGCAACGTGACATTGGGCTTGGGCTCTTTAAAACTTGGGCCTACTGTATTGAAAAGTTCAATATTTTGTTTATTTATATTGGAAGTCGGTTATTTTTTTGGGTTTTGGTAAACATTCGAAATATCGGTTCCCGATAATTCGGATGGTTTGGTTTCGGTTATGGTTCTTTGGATTACCGAAATATCGGTTTTGGGTTGATCATAATTGGTTCGGTACCCGAACCCAGCCCTAGATAACTCTATAAGATGGAAATGTTATGAACACGTCATGATCATAATATAAATGATCAATATCAAACAAGTCAATGAACTCAAATGTTTGTTGGTGAGGTTCCATGATGATACCTATATGTATTTTAGTCATATCATTTTATTGATGATATAAATCAAGTGATTCACATAATGGTGGACTGAAGACTTAATTATCTACAACTTTTCAGAAAAAAGGAATTTCAAAGTCACTTCTTAGTGCACATCGGAATGCACGCGTGCGCATACACCGTTGTTAGAAGAAGGAAGAATTGTTAAAGCTTTTCCGGGATGTGCATGGCAGTGTGTGTCACCTTGTGAAACTCACTACAATGGGGATGGTGCACATGGTGACACTGACACACACGTCGTATTTGGGAAAATGATTTTAGCACAAGTTTTGCTTAGTTTTTAGCTCAAGAACAACGCATTTCAAAGGGTTTTTTGTAATTTATTTCTTATGATTAATGACACGTAATTCTCCCCTTCCTAATTCTATTGATTATTCAAATATGAATTGTAAGTGATTTTATCAAGGGATTTGAGATTGATAAATAGGTGTTTATATGAGTCAAGGTTCCACTCTTGACGGGTTAATTAATTGCATGATTCTTATTTAATTCTCATCATTTTATTACCTGTAATGGTCATTGAGATTATAATCGCATATAAAATAATTTATGATAGGTCTAAATTTTTTCAGAACACTTTCGCATAGACCTTATTTAACACTCGTGAAGAGATTGACACGATTAGGGAGTCGTACGCTCGATCGTGTGACAACGATGTACACGCATGCGGATGAGAGGGTCTAGATAGCTCCACATCTATTAATAGTGTTCTAGATGCTTCCACATACTTCCACACACTTTCACAAGATTCTAGAGAATTCTACACTCCTCTAGAAAACTCCACAATATTTAAGGAGTTGCTCCCCTTCAAATAAAGCTTGCATCACACCACACGAACCGCCACTAAAGAATGGTCATGATCTCCTCGGCATCAAGAAATGATCCACTAAACTATCATGCACCGTCGTTATCTCCTAAAGGAATACGCCCCCTGATTACTTCGATATCAAGAAGACTTTTGATATATACAACGCACCAACAGTAGATCAAATCCCAAGACCAAGCCCTATACACAACGTTCTCATAAATATCTCTTCTCCATGACACTCGATCTACACTTCATCTTGTATTGTCATTATTTATCAACGGGACATGCCGCCTGACCACCACAATATCAGGATGACTTTTGGTACAAAGCACCACTAGCAGACCAAGACATGAGACCAGGCTGAGAACCACACCCACGATACATTCCATCACTCTGCTCCGTATGTGTATGACCCAATCTCCACAGTGAAGTCCGTCATCCCATAAAAGAGCATGATCTCGAATGACTTCGACAACAATGCTACCATCACAGTAATTAAGACAAGATCCATCGCCATGACGAACTCTACCCGTTTTTCTACCTCAAATAACATGGCTCTGATACCACTATTGGGGAAAACACGACCCCCGACCTCTTCCGAGATCATCACGAGCCCACAACACTCTTGTACACTCACCCACAACCTTGCAATACAAAGACTGAATTTGGCAATATCACTTTGTATTATACTATTGAAATGTACAAGGGACATTTACAGGTAAACGGATAGATCACTCACTCTTTGTATATGGGTCTACTTCACTCTCACTCTCCTCTTTCAAAGAGGCTCTCACTCACTCAAGAGCACTTTGTCCTCACTCACTCCCGTGTAAGCACGTTTAACTTTGGAGTTCTTATTAGCTGATGAGCTCCCTTAAAAGGAGATGCACTTTGTTGGTATGAGTAGTACTACTAATTCTTTTAAATTAATCTCAAGTGCTACGTACAAAGTTTCCTCAATTATTGCTTCATAGTATTGAGACTTTTTAATTTGCCTTTTTGTGAGAACAATTAAGGGAATACCGAATACATAATATATTTTTTCATAAGTTTAAAAATATTATGTTTCCATTTTGGCTTATATATATATGTCACAACTTCCAAAACTCTTCTTCATGAACTAAGGGAGAAAGTGGATAATATGTTGATGCAAATGGATGATTTTTGTCGTTCAAACTTAATATCATTATACCTGATATAAGAATAAACCACATTAAGGGTGAAACGAGGTGGAAGTTGATAGTTATTATCGTTTGGAACGTGTTATCTAGTCCATAACTTTTCAAGTGGCAGAGTTTAATTCGAGATTTAATGAAATATTTGTTAGACTTATTGAGCTTATTATGGGGCAGGACCCGAATAATTCTTTTGATTCATATAACGGTAATCATATATAAATCATGGTGTGGACCATTTTCCTATATGTTTGAACAACATGAGCAATATGTTTTCATGAACTTTAAAACGATTATCCCCAAAGGTTATATATCTTATTTAAAGACTATCAAATTTTACGATTAGAACTGAAAGGGGATTTCCAACAATGAAACATGTAAAGAGTGTGAGCAATTCAAAACAAGATGCATGATGAGCTTCTTGGTGATACTGATATATAGTTGTCCATTTTTGTTGAAAGGATTTTTTGTAACATCAATAGATATAAATTCTCGTATAGATGATTGTTCCAGACACTATTCATTTGGTGAAAAAAACAAATCACTCTTAATCTATTAATTACTTTATATATCAAATTTGTATCGAATTTAATTCTGGTTTTTGCGACTTTGTAAAACTTTTAATGTAGTTTCTAAATATGTAATTATTTTTTTCGAAAAATAATTTGAGCACGGACAGAGATCTGTTTACTTTATCGTCGGTCAAGCATCATAAATTGAATTGTCCCAAACTTAGTGGAACGGAGGTAGTAGTAAATTTTGTTACCAGATTGGTTTAAATTGGATTAGTATAATTATTATTATTTAAAAAAATCTTGAGATATAAAGTTTTAATTGTAATCCGACCCACTCATATTTCTTGTTTAGACTACACTTATGCACATACGACTATACGAGAAAATATAAATTGTATGTTTGTCATCAATTAAAATAAAGAGAAAGACGAATTGTGTAATTATCAGTAAAAGATTAGAAATTGCCGTAAATAGGAGTAAGAATTGTGTAATTATCAGTAAAAGATTAGAAATTGCCGTAAATTGGAGTAAAAACGTTTTGAAATTACAAAATAGAACTTTCATGTTTTTATTCCCTAAATAAGAGTAATTCTGTCAAGT